GGTTATCACTTGCCCCACCGCTCAGTGCTGTGTTCACTTACAGTGAGTTCCAAAGGGGTGAGCTTTGTCTTGGAGATGTGCAATGGAATAGGAAACCTGAGCCCAAAGCAGAGGAGATCAGAGCAGAGGAGGCTTCCTGGAGTGAAGAGACACACTTGGAAAGACCCCGGTGTCCACTGGCCATGGGACGGTAGGTCCAAAGAAATTTCACCTGGGTTTTTAGGGGTGGGGCTTCCAAAATGGAACGCAAAATGCAGACTTTGTTATAAGCCCTAGAGCCCATCTCATCCTGACATCTTATTATGGAAGGAGTCCAGTCTTTAAAATTTTTAGTTTGAGGCAGGGTCTTGCTAAATTGCCCAGGTTGGCATTGAATTTAGAATGCTCCTGCCTCAGCCTGTTGAGTAGCTGGGATTATAGGCATGCAACGTTGCACCCAGCCAAATCATTTTTCTCATTCCCAGAAGTGCATAACCATTAGGGAGCCCCCTCTTCCCACCTCTCTGGCATTCTGGAGAGAAAATCCCAGTCTACCAAAGACAGCCCTCAATTGTCTCTATCATCCTGGATAAGGGGCCACTGTGATAAAATGGAAAGATCAGAGATGCAGAAAATAGGAGACCTGACCTGGATTTGAGCCTGATTTAAGTTCCTAAGTCTCTTCAGGAGCCACATCTTGGCAGAAGTCAGTTAACTTTGCACTGTGTGTTTTCTCCACTGCTTGTCTAGCAGGCTGAAATGAAAACGCAGTTTTTATGAAGAAAACTTCCAAAAGGAAAAGGCAGCTGACATCCCCTGGCATCTCCCCTCTCTCTGATGGAGGCTGATTAGCTGAATGTAGAAGCCTCAAAATCTGTCTGTCTGGCCTGGATCCTCCTGGGAGATGAGTCCTTTGAAGGCAGGGGCAGTTCTGAACCCAGCAGTGTCCTTGGCAAATGGAGAAATCTGAAGGTACAGCCATCATACCCTTTCTTTTCTTTTTACTTTTTTCTTCCCTTTTGAGACAAGGATCTGACTGTGTTGCCCAGACTAGCCTTGAACTCACAATCCTCCTGTCTCAGCCTCCCAGATAGGTGGGATTACAGGCATGTATAACTCTGCCTAGCCAAGTTACCCTTTTCCTGATCTCTATTTCCCCTTCCCTGCACAAGAGTCCTGGTGGTGACCTGGAGAAGGAACCAAATCCTTGGGGCCTATGAACCTTATGGGTGAAAGATTCTGCTTGTAAAGAGGGAGGCTCCTCAAGCCCAATTTTCCATAGTTCCAGCCAATAGAACAGTCGCATGTCCCGGAAACATAAAGCCAGCAGAGGCATCTTCTGGGCAGCCTGACGAAGGCTGCCCCTGGCGCTGCTGCGGGCTCTCCTGGGCTGTCAGCATCTTGGTCAGAGTTGAAGCCATACCACAGTGAGAGCTGTCTGGGACCTCTTCAGGAAGTCAAAGAGGCCTTGGGTCATAAGGGACAGAGGGGTAGAGGCTGGTAGATGCACCGGCGAGGTGTTGCATAACGGGGGCAAACTCGCTGGGGGAAATGGGAACAAACCAGGGAGAGGGCCTAATACTCTAGAGACAGCACTCTGGTGACTGTGTAGCCTGATCTTAGACAAACTGTGACAGTGATGTTCCCAAGAAAAACAGGGGACCCTATGAGGTCCACTACACAGTGTGAACTCACTGGTTAATGCTGTCAGTACTACAATGTCACTGAGAGGGAGACTTGATGGTGATAGTGGGAACCCTGTGGTACGCTGGTTGAGCGTCGTGGAGATGTAGTATGAATTCTGCGGTCTGCAGTGGACACCTTCAGGCCTCATGGGGTGTGAATGCCTTGTGATGAGCAGAGTGAACATTACAGGCACTGCGTGTGGTTTGAGTCTCTGAGTGAATGAACCCTAGGGACACTGAGGTGAGGGGACCCTGTGAGGCTTGAGGAGTACTCTGTGGTTATGCACAAGGTAAAGAGCTCTGCGGATTGTGATCTACTGGGCCCAGAATCCATTCTCCCTACTTCTGGTGACAACACCACGACTTGTCTTCAGGGGGGGAAAAAAAGAAACAAATCTCAGCAGGGTTGATGAATCTGCTGGCTCCGGAAGAGGTCTAATCAGAGCTTTCCATCCTCATGGTTACAGGGACTGGGTCAGGAAACGGCCTTTCCCAGGACTTTTTTTGGAAGAATTGGGGAAGAGTTACTCCTTCCACTGGGAATTTGAGACATGCTGCTAGAAGGGGGCCTAGAAATGCTGGGAGATATTCTGAATTTAGCCTTGTTCCAATTCCTGGTGCCATGTAACAAAGTAGTCCAAAATGTAGTGATTTAAATGACAATCATTTGTTATATCCCAGATTTTGTTATGTATTTTGTTATTCCAAATATGTTACGTATAGATTGTGTAGGTCAGGATTTCTTGGAGGACTTGACTGGGCAATACTTTTCTCTCTCCCCCTCTCCCCCCTCCCCCTCTCTCCCTCCTGTTTTTTTTCAGTACAGAGTGTTGAACCACGGCCTCGAACATGCCTGGCAAGCACTCTACCCTGCGCCTCATCCCCAGCCCTTTTTTATTTTGTGAGACATGATCTTACTAAATTGCCCAAGCTGGCTTCAAACTTTCAACCCTACCGCCTCAGTCTCTCAAGGAGCTGAGGCTATAGGCATGTGCCACTGTATCCAGCTATTCTTCTGCTTTGTGAGGCACTAACTGAGATCCACTTCACTGGTGGGTGGGCTCACTAGAGGACCCAGAACACCTTCACTCACATGTCTAGCGTCGTGATGGTGGCTGGAGGGCTGGGCTCACTTGGGGCTGCTCACCAGCATGGTGGTCAGGAGGCAATAGATGTGAGTTCTTTTTGTTGTTTGTTTGTTTTGATTTCTTGAGATTGGGGCTCACTGTGTAGTCCAGGCTAGGTTTGAACTCATGAGCCATCTGCCTCAGCCTTCCTAGTATGTGTGTCACCATGCCCAGCTAGGCTTGCTTTCTTCCATGGCAGCTCGCTCTCCCAAGAGCGAGCATTTTAAGAGATCCAGGAAAGTTGTATGACCCTTTTTTTTTTTTAAGACAGGGTCTCACTGTGGAGTTGAGACTGACCTGAAATTCACTGTGTAGCCCAGGCTGGTCTTGAACTCACAGTGACCCTCCTGCCTCAGCCTCCCAAGTGCTGGGATTACACGCATGTGCCACCATGCCTGGTTGTATGACCTTTTCTGACCTAACCTTAGAAGTTTACCTCAGCCTCCTTGTGATAAGGAAGGCATGAGACTAGCTTAGATTCAAGGGGAGGGAAATTTGATTCTATATCTTGATAGTGGAATAGTGTCATAAGTTACATAGACAAGAATGTAAGGAATGAGAGATACCACTGCAGTCATCTTTAGAAAACAGACTGATGGCTCTGCCATTGCAGAGAAAGCAGTTGAGATATGGAAAGAAGATAGTTCTGCTGACATCCTCTGGGTGTGGATCCAGCTTTTCCCAGGACTGCAGTCAAGGAAACCCTAAGGTTCCTTTTCCACATAAGCCAATCTCAGTTGTGATTTTATCAGTTGCACCCGAAAGAGCATTTGTTCTTAGTGCGTGTGTATTATTATGTATTGCAGCATGACAAACCACCCCAAAACTCTGTGGCTGAAGACAGTGCTTTACTGGACCATTCCTCTGCTGTTCTCACCAGGCTCGATCATGCAGCTGCTGAGGTGGATTCGAGATGCCTCACTCACAGGTCTGAATATTAGGTGGGGACATTAGTTTTTATCTGTGTGATTTTTGGTTTGCTTTTGCAGTACGGGCGACTGAACCCAGGGCCTTCCCCTGAGCTCCTTCTCTTCCGTCTCCCTCTCTCCCTTCCTTCCTTCTCCCTCTCTCCTTCCCCTCTCCCTCCCTCTCTCTCTCTTTTGACAGGGTCTTACTTTGTAGTTCAGGCCCTTGAACTTGCAGCAATCCTCCTGTGATGCCCCTAAATTCTGGTATTACAGGCCTGAGCCACAACTCCCAACAGCTTTTTTTTTTTTTGAGGCAGGGTCTCACTGAGTTGCTAAATTTCCCAGGCTTGGCTGGAATTTGCAGTCCTCCTGCATCCATCTTCTAGAGTGCTGGGGTTATAGGTGTGTGTCACCATCCTGCTTTCTCTGTGATCTTGAGCTGCATCTGAGCCAGCCTGATGCTTCCCTTTTCCCACTGACAGCCAGAAGGGAGAGTGCTTTGATTGATAGCCACACTTTGGCTGTGGCTCTCCTGAAAGCTAGTAGTGACCTGGAAAGATACCTGCCTTGTCCACAGAAGCTTTGAATTTGGTCCAATCAGCAAGCTCAAAATTTTTTATTGTTTTTTAGCAAGCTCAAATTTGGATCAATCACAGGCCAAGGATTAACCTTGCCTGCTGAGGACCTGATGGTGGTGGCTAGAGTCCTGGGTCTATAGCACTGTGGGCTGCCTCAAGAGTCCCCCGGGCTGTCCCACCAAGGAGGACCCCTGGCCCTCAAGGCCTCTGGAGCTACCTACTGCAACTTCATAGATTTCTTTTCTTTTTTTTTTTTTTCAGCTTTAATTGAGTTTATTGGTACATTTTAGCAATACAATACAGTTACATTCATTGTTGGGATCTTGCACCTCTACATGACAAGTCTTGGTTCTCATTTTTTCCCCTTGTCCCTGCCCCCCCTTCATAGATTTCTATTTCTATCTGAATTGAGCGAAAGAGCCCTGACTGATTAACAGTCCTCCCCCAGGAAGCTAGACGGAACTTCCATATGTGATAAATGTCCTATGAGAGTGAGGGTCCAGAATGTGTCTACCATCGCTTCTGTCTTCTTTATTCCAAGCAAATGGCAAAGCCAGCCAAAGTCACAGGAGTGAACAGATTCTCCACCTCATAGTGAAGAGTAGCAAGGACTTTGTGGACATGTTTAATCTACCACAGTCCACTAAATATCTGGATCATGACAGCTGGGAACATCTTTAGATAAGTGTATGTGCAGGAAGCAACATGGGTGTGATTTCCACATGGCTCCTCTGAGCTGAGGTCCCCATATCAAGGCCTGCATTAGACCCTTGGTTCCCAGGGTCAGCTTTGAGCTGACAGCCTGCTGTGCCTGAATGGCTTCACCTGTCTGAGCCTCAGTTCTTCCTCTGTAAAATGGCCGTGGTCATCCTTGCCTGGCAGACTGGCTGTGAGACTGAAGATAAGAAGATTGCAATAAGTGTGCTTTGTAAATTACTGGGTGCCGTCTACATGTGGTGGAGCATTAGTAGCTAAGACAGAAATAGTTGGCATGGTCCTGGGTCATAGGAGAAGGAGGAGAGAAAAGACTGAGCCAGCAGGTTGAAAGTGGAGACCTTCCCATTGGTGGGGAGGAAGGTCTGTATTTCAAGTCAGGAAGCTGGGAAATAAAATTATAAAGGTACAGAAGTAGAACAGTGACAGACTATCTGACACAGGGAGGAGAGTGTCTTGGCCAGAGAGTGAGCCCCCCATTACCTGGACTTTGGGTCTCTGGGCTCCCAGGCAGAGAATCAGCAGCCCTTATGGTCTCAGAGCTGCAGCCCAGGCCTCCAGTCTTCAAAACTCATCCATCAGCAGGGCCACAGGGGAGAGATGCCTGGAGGAGGCAGTCTGGAGGGATGAGAGACGCTGCGCTGGCTGTGTAGCTATTAGGACCAGGTCAGAGCCCCCTAACTATTCCCAAGCTTCTTTCCTGACAGCAGGGTGGGGACCCCTGGCTATAGCTTGGGTCAAAAGTGGCCTGGCTAAACTAGGCTCCAATCCTGTCCATCCCCTGGGCAGGAGTGGGAATGATTGATACGTTTCCAGTGTGTTCCAGGCGGGGGCTTGGAACCGATTCAGACCGGCCTGGCTTAGAGAAGCCCCAGGTGGCGGCTCGGGGCTGAGGCTGACCCATCCAGGCCAGGTCCTGAGCAGTCCAGGCCTGTGGCCACTTCCCAAGTTCTCTCTGTCCTGGGGATGTACTGCAGGGGGACCATTGTTGCTCAGCAGCAGCCTCTTCTTCAAAGGAGTTCTGGGAGAGCAGGTTGAGATGGACTGAGTTTCCAGCCCTTTGCTGTTGATAGTTCATAAGTTCCCCTTATGAACGGAAAATGACCTGATGGGAGTATGGAGGCAGGCAGGATATGAGCGAGGGAGACACAGAAGCCAGGGCTGGAATTAGAACCCAGAAATTCTAGCTCAGAGTCCCTTGGCCTTTTGCCACTCACAGCGAAACCTACTGGCCACTTGGGTGAACCTCTCTGTCTGAGTGCTAGGCCAAGCAAGGAGACCTAGACAGGAATCCTGGCTTACAGCGCTCTTCCACCTTGCCAAATTCTCATCTCTAATGGGACCCTGCCTCTTCCTATAGAAAGAGAGGAAGAAAGGGCTGGGGACACCGAGGTCCAGGGTGACTTGGATTGCCTCTAGTCCAAGGTCACACATCAGAATCAGTGACAGTCTCAGGACTGGGCTTCTGACTCCTAATTGTTCTGGTGATTGTGGTTCAGCCTGTCTGTGTCTGTCCTCAAAGTAATAGTGCTCACGTGAGACTGACTCAGGACAGACATCTGCTGTCAAAGTCATGGCAGAAGCTGCTTCATGGCTTGGCTCTGACAGTGTGGATGAGGCTGAGGCAGGCTACAGGGCCTATGGCCAAGGGCTGGAGGCTGGAAGGGAGACCAGGCTCCAGGAGAGAAAGCAAATCAGACGGCTAAGGGACTGATGCTGCTTGGTGTCTTTTCTCCAATCATGTTCTCTTCCCGAATGGTGCCTGTCCAGGGCAGTGTTTAGAGAAAACAGAGCTCCTAAGCCCTTGCTTACCCACAGGGAAGAGCACAGACAGAGAAAGGCAGGGACACACAGGCGTTGGCTGCGCACATGACTTTTGGTGTGAGGGCTAGCTGCTATGCAGTAGGATCATTTTCGTGTAAGGCTCTTTTTTCTTGTGGCTCCCCAGTGTCCAGCCTAGACACTGGATAGATTCTGGTAGAATAAGAGCTCAGCGAGGGTGTGTGGAAAGAGTGACCCAGGTGTGGAAGACCACAGGGCCAGGCTTCCTCCTCCAGGCGCTGGCAGGAGGCAGAAAGCCCAGACCAGGTTGGGTGAGACTGCAGCATGAGGCGGGACTTGGGCAGTACCAGTGTGGTCTTCAGCACCCTCTCTCCGCATCTTTGGACTCCACCTGCGGCTCTGTCCTTGTGAACAGTAATTCTCAAAATGTAGTCCAAGAACCAGTAACTTCAGTAGTACCGGCAAGCTGGACAGAAATGTACTCTTGGGCACCACAGAATTGGAAACTCTGGGTGTGGGTCCAGAAATCTGTGTTTTAACAGCCCTCCAGACAGTTGGAATGCAAGCTAAAATTAGAAAGCTACTGCTGGAGATCAGCTCATGCTGGGGCCGGAAAGCCCAAAGCACAGGCAGCTGTCCGGGGTACTCATCCTGGAAGTGAGATGCATATATGAACATCTGACAGGTCTCGGAGGGGTCCACGTGCTGGGCTCTAGGATCTCCACAGGTATAAGCGGCACTTGGGTGGAAGCAGAGAGGGGCAAGATCTCACAAGGTGACAAACTGTGACCCACAATTCCTTTATCCCTTGTCCTTCTGAGGTTCCCTAGTGCTCTTTGGGAGGCCAGAAAAGCTGAGCAGTTGCCCAGCTGAGATGGACACACCCAGTGGAAGGCCCTTGTGCCGAAGGGAGCTTGGGGTATGTGCTAAGAGTAGCAAAGTCCTTTCCTGCACAGATGGGCTGGGACCAGGGAATGCAGGGATCAGTAAGTATTGCCTAGACAAGAGCACCCCATCCCTACAGCCACGAAGTGCTGCTCAGCTGGAGAATTTCCCTTGGCCCTTTCCCAGGGCTGCTCTTAGTGCCCAGCCCATGGCCTGACCCCTCTTTCTTCCCTGGCTGGGAGAACCCTGGGCGGCTGCCCACCTGGGCCATCTGCAGGCCCCCCTAAGGATCTGGATGTGAGATCTTGGCTTCTGTGAGCTGCAGGGGACATGGGGAGGGGAGGGAGGCTCAAGCTCAGATCTGGTTTCGCTGTTGCTTCCCATGGCTGCCTGCCACAGGCTGAGCCACCAGCTGGGCTATATAAGGCCCGTGGCGGGACTGCTGCAGTAGTGAAGACTCGGACCCCCAGCGAAGGAGACCTGCTCAGAACGGGTGAGCTCCATGCCCAAGTCCCTCACCTCATCCCTGCACCCCACTGCCTGGCTTAGCTGCTTTCCCCCGACCACCCCGTTTCTTATTTTTTTTGCCGGCTGACTTCTCATCTTCCATAGAAAAGACTCACCTTTCTTCTTTGAAGTTCTCTCTTTTCTCCAAGTACTCCAGAGTCCTCTTCTTCCCTCATCTGCGGTTAGGAAACCCACAAATGGCCCCATTCTGGGTCTCTATATCTCTGGGCGCCCTGCATTGTTCCTGCAGTCAGCCGGCATGTGTGGGTTGGGGAGCTTGTGTCAGACATGTACTAGGGGACGGCGGGAGGCCGAGAAAGCTCCATGAGCTGTCAGACGGGAAATGGTTTTTCCACAAGGTGCCCCAGGCCACCTTGGCCTCTCTAACAGTGCTGGAACAGGCTCAGGTTGAGTGCTGTGCAGGCCTGCAGACTGTTCAGTGCCCACGTAGAGCCCAGGGCTTGGGCTGAGTCCCGCACTCACTGGAGATGGGACCTCCTGGGAACTTTGTTCCTTGGACAAGAGGATGGGGGTTACCGCTTTTAGGGCCAGACTGTCTGCAATGTGGAATTGTTTTTTCCTTCCGCTGGGGCATCTAAGAGTTTCTGGATCTATTTTTCCACTACCATACTCCAGACTTTGGAGATTGAAGGGAACCATTTTTTGGATCTCCAGAACTGGTCAGATTCTGGGTTGGCCAGAGCTCTGAGGAGAGAGAGAAATATCCTGCTGATCAAGAGCCTGGGCCACAAATGATCTATGGTTCCTTAACCTCCAATTACCAGGCCTCCTTTTCTTTCCAGACTCTGCAGCACCTCTCCCATGCTCAGCAGGTAATGGGGAGCCTTGGCCTCTTACACTGCACGCCCCCCTGCTTTCCCCTCAACTGATTCCTGGCTGTGGAACTCCCAGCCAGGCCCCAAACAAGCAGGCAGAATGTGTTCCAGATGCAGCCCTTGCACATCTGGGAATGTATTCTTGGAGGTGGTAGGCCTGAGGCATCTGTGCCTCCAGCCTGCCTACGTAGGAGGGGTTACTATAGTCGAGACAGGCCTGCATGGCCTCCTCTGCAGGAGTGTGAGCCCCACCAAGAGATAGCAGACCAAAAGCCCCTGAAGCCTGGGTCTTGATGTGAGGCTGCTGGGAGTGAGCTCCTGCGCCTGTAATTGACAAGAACCCCCTTGCCTCCATCCTCCCTGTGCTCCAGGTGGGACTCTAAATCAGCCTCATGTGAACTGAGATCCAGAGCCTCCGCATCTCCCAAGCTGCTCAGCTTTACAACTCAAGCAGATATCACACTTGCTGGACTTCATTCTGTCTTTAACAGGTCAAGAAATACCTCTAATCGAGCCATAAGGGATGACCCAGAAATGTGGGTCTGACAAGCTTTGTTTCGTTGTAGGTCATCGGATCTGAGAAACCTCCCAGGGAACCACGTTCCAGAAGCGAGTTGGCTTTGTGAAGCTCTCTCCCCACCTCCTGCCACATTCCCACAGGGCTGGGAGAAAGATGGAGGGGGCCATTGCCTGGCTATTCTCCTTTCTGGTCTTGCAGGTCACCTCTGTGTCAGGTACAGGCTGAGTATCTGCTGCCTCCCCAGTCTGCCCTGTGCCATAGTGAAATCGTGTCTGTTCAAGACCTACCTGTGCATCTGCCTTAAGAGAGCAATGACCTTAAGACATGCGGCTGTGTGATAGATTTATTTCATATATACTTCTCTCTCTCTTTTTTTCCCCCCTGGTGCTTGGGATGGAACCTGGGACCTTTACACTGAGTTGTATCTTGTCTCTTTAAAATTTTTTTTCTATTTTTTAATTTAATTTTTTTTTGATACTGGGGATCAAACTCAGGACCTTGTGCACATGAGGCAGGCAGTGGCACCACTGAGCTAAATCCCCGGCACTAAAAATTTTTTTATTTTGAGACAGGGTCTCATTAACTTGCTAAGTTGCACAAGCTGGGCTCAAAATTGCCATCTCCCTGCCTCAGCTTCCCAGAATGCTGGGGCTACAGGTTACATACCCATGTGATAGTTCCCAATATTAAAACTCACAGAATAGAAGCTTTTAAATGAGGAAGGGGAAGAACAGTCATTCTGAGGGAGGAGAAAAGATCAGAGAGTCACAGCCCCTGAGTACTAAATTTAGCTCTGAGCTTCCTGGCAGCCAAAGCAAAAGAGAGTCACGGGATCACTGAACTCTTGGAAGCAGATTGGGGTTTGGTCACTTTTCAGTTTCATGAGCATTCTTCTGGCTTAAAGCTTTGTTTCATTTAGACCAAATTTCATAGACATGCCTGTGCCTCACTGGTCTCCTTGTCCGCTGACCCCATCCCCGGTGACCCTGAGCTCTGCAAAGAACAGAGAGAATTTGCCCGCTCCCCTGTGGAAGCACCAGAGCCTCAGCGCCCCGCCGTACACTCTCTCCCACTTCCCTTTGCTCTTCTCATTTCCAATCTTATGCTCAGATAATGGAGAAAGAGGGAAAAAAAAAAAAAAAAAAGCTCCAAGCCCTCTTTTTAAGCTGCCGGCCGGCAGGCTTTGTGAGCACAGATGTAGGAACAAAGGCTGTCTCCACGCAGCACCCAGCCCTGTGTGCCCCGCCTCCTGCCTCGCTTTCTACACTCAGTCAGCTGCTGTTTGCGAAGATGATTAACATGCAGCCATCTGAGGGGAAATCAGATTAGCTTGATTAAAAGAGCTCCTATCACCCCAATTAAGCAGCTCAGAGAATTCTTAGTTGGCTCTTGGCCTGGGAGTTACTTGCCTTTCCAGAGGTTTGCAGACCTCTGTTCCCCTCTCCTTCCCATTCCCATACAGCCACACTGGTGTTGGTGGAGTAGGGCTGGAACTGCCTGTGGCCTCAGGACCTTGTGCTTATCCCCAGGTGAATGCCACAGTCTCAGAACCACCAGCCCATTTCTGTTCATCTGCCAAGAGAAGGGAGGGGGATGTTTATGGGGCCAGACATTCAGCTAAAGGTAGTTGCTAATAATTCTGTGCTGTTAAGTGGCCTTTATGAATGATCCTTTGTAATCCCCACAGTACTCTAAGGCAAGGAGCATTATTGTCCCCATTTTATGATGAGAGAACAGAGGCCAGATGGGTGAAGTGGCTTGCCTGAGGTCACAGTGCTCTCATCTTCATTGACTTGAGGCATGTTTATGTTTATCTCATGGAATGCTCTTGCCAAATGGTCCTGTAAGGTGTCAGTTAGTATCTGTATTTCACAGAAGGCTCTGTCTTACCAAGATGAGGAAGACCAGCCCACTAAAGCTTCATTTCTAGAACAAGAATGAGAATTCTATTCAAGCATGCATCCCCATGCCACTCCCTTCATCACCCCCAATAATGCGCCAGACCCTATGCCATTGTGATGTTTTAATGAACCCGTCTTAAGGGAAAAAGAAATACAGCCTTTCTGAAGTTGCACAGCAGTAAGTGGCAGAGTGGGGATTCGAACCCACGTCTGGAGATCATGTTCTATCCAGCATACCGTACTGTTTCCCTGTGTTTTGAGAGGCTCCTGTTTAGTCTTGGCTTCTTGCTCAGCTTCTTCTTGTCCTGGCCCTCAGGGAGGCAGACAGTGCTCACCCAGGGAGTGAGAAGAGTCCAGCCTGGGAAGAGGACCCCTGGTGCCTTTGCCAAGCCTGCTGATGCCCCGGAGAGTGAGTTGTGGCTGGAGCAGGGAGGCCTAGGAGGGCTGGGGTGTTGCTGAGCTTGCCAACCCTCTCCGAGCGTGCTCTCAGTTTCATGTAAACCCCTTTCATGAGGCGTTTGATAGAGAGACATGGTATGGGACAGCTTAGAATCAGGAAGCTGCCTGGTATCTTCGAGGAGTGCTGTAGAGCTGGGGCTGCAGCACGGGCTGCTGGGGAGCAAAGAAGGAGATGAAGATGGAGAAATAGTGGGGGTCAGCTCACCACCCTACTGCTTGCAAGGGCGTGTGTTTTTGTCTTTTTGTCTTTTGGTTTTTTTGTTTTTTTGTTTTTTTTTGTTAGGTGCCAGGGATTGAACTCTGGTTCTTGCACTTGCGAGACAGGCAGTGGAACCACTGAGCTAAATCCCTGGCTCCTTTTGTTTTTGTTTATTTGTTTATTGGAAGTACGAGGGATTGATTGAATGTGTGGCTTTTGCATTGAGCTACATCCCCAGTCCTTTATTTTGTAAATTTTGAGTCAAGGTCTCATTAAGTCGCTAAATCATTCAAATTGGGCTAAAACCAGTGATCTTTCTGCCTCAGCCTCCCAGAGTCAGGAAAATAGATGTGCACCACCACACCTAGCTGCTAAGGGATTATAAAGTGAGAGAGTGGTGTGTGTGGTCCATGCCGCATGGAGGAATTTCACCTGGCCTGCAGTGCTGGGGAGTTGAGGTGTGGAGGAAGGGGAACCTTGGGGCAGAGGCTGGCAAGGTTCCGTCAGGGGGAGGTCTTGGCATGGTGGGGAATAGGGAGGATTAGAGAGAGACTGAAGGCGTGAGGGACCAGGGCCAGGTGAGTGGTACCGGGGAGGACTTCCAAGGCTGATCAGGAAGAGCAACCGAGCTGTTCCCCTAGGGATGGCTGCTCCCCAACCTGCCCTGTACTTTAGGTCCCGGGGAGTGGACGACGTGGTTCAACATCGACCACCCAGGCGGGCAGGGTGACTTTGAGCGACTGGATGCCATTCGCTTCTACTATGGGGACCGCGTGTGTGCCCGCCCCCTGAGGCTAGAGGCTCGGACCACTGACTGGATACCTGCGGGCAGCAATGGCCAGGTGGTCCACAGCAGTCCCCGGGAAGGCTTCTGGTGCCTCAACCGGGAACAGCGGCCTGGCAGGAACTGCTCCAACTACACAGTGCGCTTCCTCTGCCAGCCAGGTGAGTCCTACAGGAAGCACCCTGTAGTGTTTGGGTTATGGGTCCCCTCCATCATCTGTTAAGTACAAGATGAACACCTGCAGCAAGCCCTCCAACAAGATGGCCCCTGAGAAGAGTTTGTGGATCACCCCTGTGCAGGCCAGTGGACCCTCCCTGGAGCAACAGGGCCAGCGGTCCTGCCAGAATGGGTGGAGCTGGCTCCCTCACCTACTTCAGATTGTGGCCTGGCTGCTGTGATTGGCTTTGGGGTCCTTGTTCTCCTCCTGCCTCACCACTGGGTGCCTGCTGGCTACGCGGTATCCTTGGGAAAGTGGGCCCATTGCGTAGAAGACGAGGCACTGGGTGGATGGAAGGCAGAGCCCTGAAGCTGGGCTTAGGGACTCCGGGTGAGGCAGAGCAGGGCTGGTGCAGTCGTCCCTTCCCGGCCTCCAGCTCCCACCTGACTCCTTCTCTGACAGGGTGAGGGCCAACTATGCAGTGCTTTGGATCTTATCAACTGAGGTGCTGCAGGATCCATCAAAGAAGAGCGCATTAAAGCTTAGTGCAGTTGCAGGGCTTCAAATCCTGAGCCTACCACTCAGGACTGAGTTCCTGAGGCCAATTTTCTGCAGTTCTCTTAGCCTCAGTTGCTCACTTGTTCAGTGGGGCTAACCATAAATCCCATAAGGATTTTTTTGTTGAGGGTGTAGACCTGATTCACAAAGTGCTGGTTCCTATTGCTGTCCCTACCTGCCGGATGCTGTTCCTGTTCTTCCTTTCCTATTGACCTTTGCACTAGTGCCCTCTTGGCGGTCGCATGGAACGCTGAGGCGCTGAGTGCGTCTCACGATGCCGCAGCTGATAAGCGCAGAGCTGATAAGCGCAGTCTGTGTTTGCAGAGTCCATGTTCTTGACATCCTGCCCTGCACTCCCCTGCCCTGGGTAATTCAGATGTTGGGCACCAGCTGCAGTCTAGCTCCTATGGATGGGCACCCTCCTTTTTAGGGTTCTGCCAGTTCACACAGCTGGATGCCACAGGCCTAGGTACCCATAGAGGCCTTGTGCAGTGGGGGTGCAGCGTGTCTTCTGCCTCAGACCAGGAAGAAGCAGGTGGGTAGAGAGGGCTGGTCCATGTCACTATAGGCCCTGACCTCTGGGAGAAGGAAGCTGGTACTGTCCCTGAACATTGTGGGACAGTGAATCAAATCCCAGTGCTTGGCAACAAGCTCTCTCATGACTACTTTGGGAGGGAGGTTAGGTCATCACTGATCTCACTTTGCAGGTTCCCTGCGGCGGGACACAGAGCGCATTTGGGGTCCCTGGTCTCCCTGGAGCAATTGTTCAGCTCCCTGTGGTCAAACTGGGGTCCAGACCCGCACACGCGCCTTCCTGGCAGAGACGGTGTCACTATGCAGTGAAGCCGCTGAGGAGGGCCAGCTCTGTGTGAGCCAGGCTTGTACAGGTACTACCCTCCCTCTGGCACTGGCGCTGTGTGTGGTAAGGCTGAAGCAGATGAAAGGATGGGTAGTTGGAGGGTCAGTCTCTGAGATCAGTTTTCTCATGCACCCCCCGAGTATTAACTGAGTCTCTACCATGTGCTCTGATTATAGGATAATGTGGGGAACAGGGCAGGGAAGTGATCATAGCTTAGAGAAATCCAGGGAGGCTAGAGGAGGTATCTTGGCTCAGTCTAAAAGGATGGGTAAGAGTTAGCTCAAGGTCAGGGATTTGGCTCAGTGGTTCTGCCACCTGCTTCATGAGTGCAAGGGCCTGAGTTTGATCCCTGGTACCAAAAAAAAAAAAAAATTTTATCTTAGGCTGATAATAGAGTGGCAGAGGGGAAAGGGGAGTCCAAGTGAGCCTGCAGGCTGGGGTGTAGTGAAGGAGGTTAGAACCCATGTACACCCTTCTGATGTGGCCCCTTGTACCACAGCCTGTGACCTGGCCTGCCCCATGGGCCAGGTGAATGCTGAGTGTGATGCCTGCATGTGTGAGGACTTCATGCTTCACGGAGCTGTCTCCCTCCCTGGCGGTAACCCAGCCTCAGGAGCCACCGTCTACCTGCTGACCAAGACGCCGAAGATGCTGACCCAGACAGACAGCAGTGGCAGGTTCCAAGTCCCTGGCTTGTGCCCCGACGGCAAAAGCAAGCTGAAGATCACAAAGGCCAAGTTTGTCCCCATCATTCTCACGATGCCCAAGACCAAGCTGAAGTCAGCCACCATCAGTGCAGAGTTCACGAGGGCAGGTACAAAGCTCTCTAGGTGCTAAGAGTTGGTTTCCTGTCTCACCAAGAGTCTTCAGTGTGGCTCACAAGGCCTCAATCTGGCCCTCCCTTATTTCTCTTTCTTTTCTTATTACTCCTCCCACATGGAGTCATTCTTTTCCAGCTACAAAGGCCTCCTATCTGTTCCTTAAATACAGACACACTCCTGCCTCAGGTCCTTTGCACCTGATGTGTGTATTTTCCATAGCATGTTCTTTCTGCAGATACTAGAAGTCCTGTGCCTGATGTATGAGGGTTTTCCAGACCACTTTATCTAAGACAGCCCATTACAATACAGTGTGAGCATTGGAGGTCTTAGAGGGAGGGAACTGCAGAGCCCAAAAATGGTGCAGAATGGCCAAAAAGAAAAAATGTTGTCAAGGGCAGCAGAACACCAGTATCTGACTATCTCAACAGCCAGTTCTGTCCCTGTTGTAGTGCTTAGGCATTGTGGCTGGCACAAGGTCCCTGGGATCCTGGGGGTTCCTGCTGTCCCAGGCTGAAATGGTGGAAGGGGGGACTCCACTGTGGACCAAGTCCCGTGGGCATTAGGAGCATTAGAGATAGGCTGGGGTCGGGGTAGGGAACCACAACATTCACATAACATCAAGAAACTGTCACAAAGAAAAAAAACGAAATGCTGTCTCTCATCTGGTGTCCCAGAGACTCCATACATCGTGATGAACCCCGAGACCAAAGCACGGCGAGCCGGGCAGAGTGTGTCCCTGTGTTGTAAAGCCACAGGGAAGCCCAGTCCGGACAAGTATTTCTGGTGCGTATTCTGCCAGCTACCCTGCCCACTCCTCAGAAAGCAGAGCTTTCTGCAGCCATCACCAGTAGGATAGTGAGAAGTCGGGCACCGACACAGAGCCTGGGTGTTAGCGCTGGCAGGTGGAGCCAGCAGGGTCGAAGCTGCTCAGGCAACCATTGAGCCCTCTTGTACCCTTGAAGCTGGCTGGCTCATCACCTTTTCCAGCCACTCTCTTGCATGGCAATCCCAACAACTCTGTGAGGTCAGCTGGAGACCATTGGTGCCATTTTGTAGACCCGGAAGCAGAAGCTGAGATGATCAGTTCAAGGATCCCTTGCCATCTAAGTGGTGGGGCTGGGACTTAGAACCAAGGCCCCTGACTCCCAGGCTGATCTGTGTTCCATCCAGGCTAAGCCAAGCCCGAAGCGACATTGGCATTTCGGGAACCCATCTGTCTCCCTCCCACTGCCCCGCGGGCTCTTCCTCTCTGTGCCTTGCAGGTATCACAACGACACACTGCTGGATCCCTCCCTCTACAAGCTGGAGGGCAAGCTGCTGCTGAGAAATGTGTGGCCAGAGCAGGCCGGGGAGTACTTCTGCAAGGCGCAGAGTGATGCGGGAGCTGCGAAGTCGCAGGTTGCCCAGCTGACGGTCACAGGTGAGCTTCTCTGGTATTCTGGGGTCTCTGGTCCGCAGCAGGGCAGGCCCAGCACCCTGGGATCATAACTGGGCAGTGAATGCTTGGGCTTCTGAGTCGTGCATAATGCTTTGCCCTCTGGGACCCAGAGATGGCAGAGATCCTGAATCCTGTTGTCACAAAGCCACCCTTTGAGGAGGGGTGAAGAAATGTAAATAAGAGACAAAGGCAGAAAAATTTAGCTAAAGCAGGAGAAAATGGACTGTGGATTCTGACAGATCAGAGATGGATACCTTCTAAGGAGCCAATTTCAGCTATAAACCATGGTTTTTAGCCTTACCTGCCTATTGGCACCATCTATTGACAGTTTAAAAAAAACATCGATGTCCCTGCCTTACCTTGAAAGCATCTCATTTAACCTGGGATGTGGCCTGGGTGCACATGGTTTAAAAGATGCCTGAGTAGCTGGGCGTGGTGTTGCATGCTTGTAAGCGTGTAATCCCAGCACTCAAGAGGCAGAGGCTGGAGGTTTGTCATGAGTTTGAGGCCAGCCTGAGCTACAGAGTGAGTTCAAGGCCAGCCTGAATTATGTAGTGAGTCTCAAAAAGAATTAAAAAAAAGTGTTTTGGGTGGGGGATTTAGCTCAGTGGCACTTGCCTTGTGAGCGCAAGGTCCTGAGTTTGATCCCCGGTACAAATAAATAAATAAATAAAAGAGCGGGCAGGAACTGGCTGTGGAGCTGTTCCAGACTGAGGGGCCAGTGTGGACTGAATCACAGAAGTGGGGAACCCCCAAGGGCTATATATAAAGGATGATCTCATCAGGTGTGATGACACAGGCCTGTAACCCCAGCATTCTGGGAAGCTGAGGCAGGAGGATCAAGGATTCAAAGTTTGAGTCTGTTTTGGGCAATTTAGCAACTCAGCAAAGTCTGCAGGGGACGTAGCTCAATGTAAAGGCTTTGGGTTCAATCCCTAGTACCCCCCCAACAAAACAAATCTCAAACAAACAACACGTACATGTAAACAAACAGAAGAGGCGACCTGATTACAGCTGGCTTCTAGAAGAAAACTGGAGAGGAAGAGATTTAAAGCCACAGGTCTTCCGGAAGCCTGTCCTTAGAAAGTGAAGGGGAGAGAAGATACCTTAGTAATTGGCTTAAACAAAATACAGTAAAAAACCCAAACAAAACAAAAACCAAAAAAGCAGAAATAGGAAGAGAGTATTATTGGGAGAATTCTGGAATATTGCACAGACTTCTAGGCATTTGAGCAACAGACCACAGAACAGACAAGACAGAGACTTTGGTTCTCAGCAGAGGAGATAAGGCGCCCCCAGGAGTGGTTCCCAGTCCCTCACACCAGTACTCCCATTTGGTGTGATTTTTTTTAAAAAAATAGGCATCTCTGTATAGATTAGACGAGCCTTTAACTCACAGTGTAGACTGGGCTGACCTCAAACTTGTCGTCCTCTCGCCTCAGCCTCCTGAGTGCTGGGATTACTGGTGCGTGCTACCACACCTGGCTGGCATAGTGACTTAAAAAAAATATTGATTTACTATTCTAAAGTTCAATTTATAGATAGTAACTACATAAACTTTCTAAATATGTAAGCATATGGTCCTAATTGTAACATAAAGGAGAAATAAAGCTAGGAGTGGTGGCATGCCCCTATAATCTCAGCATTTAGGAGGCTGATGCAGGAGGATCACCATAAGATGAAGGCCAACCTAGACTATACAGTGAGTTCAAAGCCAGCCAGGAGGGCTGGGGACATAGCTCAGTGGCGCCCCACCCACTTGGCAAACGCAAGTCCTGAGATCAATTATCAGTACTAGAAAAAAATCAAAGCCAGTCTGGATTACATAGCAAGACTCTGTCTCACAAAACAGGCAGAGACAAAAGGAGAGATTTTAATACATAAAGTATCACTGCAGTATCTAAATGCTTTGACACAGTGACACAGATGAATCAAGAGGTCAGACATCTGCACATAAATCCAGAGTAACCACACATGTGATAATGATAAATGACAGGTCACGCTGACTATTCTGAAATGAGGGAGGGCCGGGGATTTAGCTCAGTGGTGCTGCCACTGCCTCGCAAGCTCAAGGACCCGGATTTGATGCCTGATACAAAAAAAAAAAAAAAATCGCTTCTTGGCCTTTTGGCTAAGATTGAGTGAAATGAGGGATTATTCTTGGTATTGGTCCAAGCTAAACAAAGTGCAATCTTGGATTGATTCATATGGTGGTTGTATTCTTGAAAGATTCATTGTGTGGTTGAGGCTGTGTAAAAAATACCAGGCTATAATTTTAATTATCTTCAACAGATTTTCCACTTACTCTATGTGAATGTCCCATTGCGTGTGTGTGATATCATACAAGATGCAGAAGAAACATTTTAAGTGGATCAGTGCCAGGCACTGCCAGCCATGAAACATCAGGTGGCACATGCCTGTGATCCCAGCACTCAGCTCCTGCCCCCTGTATGCCCGTAGCACTCCTGATTTTGGTAATAACTCCCAAACCCCCTCACACACTTTCAGGCCCCTCCACAGAGAACCACGGTCTCATGGTCTCAGCACCCGGTTCCATTTCCCCACGTGCAAGATGCGATTGATAACAGCAGCCCCATCTCCCTCCCAGAGTTCTGTGCAAAGCAGAGTTGCAGATATGCAAGTCCTTTGGACACTGCAGAGGTGACATTGAGGTACCCTTCGTAGGATGTGAACTTGCATCCTAACAGCCGTACTATTTCCTCCTCAGCCCCCAATGAGAGTCCTTGCAACCCAACCCCTGAGAGCTACCTTATCCGACTTCCCCATGACTGCTTCCAGAATGCCACCAACTCCTTCTACTATGACGTAGGCCACTGTCCTGCCAAGACCTGTGCAGGGCAGCAGGATAATGGGATCCGGTGCCGGGATGCTGTGGAAAACTGCTGTGGCATCTCCAAAACAGAGGAGAAGGAGATCCAGTGTAGTGGGTACACATTGCCCACCAAAGTGGCCAAAGAGTGCAGCTGCCTGCGGTGTACAGAGACACGGAGCATTGTGCGGGGCCGTGTCAGTGCGGCAGACACTGGGGAGCCCATGCGCTTTGGCCATGTGTACATGGGGGGCAACCGTGTGAGCATGACTGGCTACAAGGGCACTTTCACCCTCCATGTCCCCCAGGACACGGAGAGGCTGGTGCTCACCTTCGTGGACAGGCTACAGAAATTTGTCAATACCACCAAGGTCCTGCCTTTCAACAGGAAGGGGAGTGCGGTGTTCCATGAGATCAAGATGCTTCGGCGGAAGGAACCTGTCACTCTGCATGCCATGGAGACCAATGTCATCCCCCTGGGAGAGGTGGCTGGCGAAGACCCCATGGCTGAACTAGAGATCCCATCCGGCAGTTTCTACAGGCAGAATGGAGAGCCCTATGCAGGAAAAGTGAAGGCTAGTGTGACCTTCTTGGATCCCAGAGATATTGCCACTGCCACAGCCACTCAGAGTGACCTGAACTTCATCAACAGTGAAGGAGACACCTTCCCTCTGCGGACGTATGGCATGTTCTCTGTGGACTTCAGAGATGAGACCACCTTAGAGCCACTGAATGCTGGCAAGGTCAAGGTCCACCTCGACTCCACCCAGGTCAAGATGCCAGAACATGTGCCTGCGATGAAACTCTGGTCACTCAACCCAGACACGGGGCTGTGGGAGGAAGAAGGTGATTTCAAATTTGAAAGGCAGAGGAGGAACAGAAGGGAAGACAGGACCTTCCTGGTGGGCAACATGGAGATCCGAGAGAGGAGGCTCTTTAACCTGGATGTCCCTGAAAGCAGGAGGTGCTTTATCAAGGTGAGGGCCTACCGGAGTGAGAGGTTCCTGCCCAGTGAACAAATCCAGGGTGTCGTGGTCTCTGTGATCAACCTGGAGCCCAGAACTGGCTTCTCGTCCAATCCTCGGGCCTGGGGCCGCTTTGACAGTGTCCTCACAGGGCCCAATGGAGCCTGTGTGCCTGCCTTCTGTGACGACCAGGCCCCTGATGCCTACTCTGCCTACATCCTCGCAAGCCTGAGTGGGGAGGAGCTGGAAGCAGTGGAGTCTTCTCCTAAGTTCAACCCCAATGCAATTGGCGTCCCTCAGCCCTACCTCAACAAGCTCAAGTACCGTCGCACAGATCACGAGGACCCCCAGCTTAAAAAGACAGCCTTCCAGATCAGCATGGCCAAGCCAAGGCCCAACTCAGCTGAAGAGAGTAACGGGCCTATCTATGCCTTTGAGAACCTTCGGGCCTGTGAGGAGGCACCTCCCAGTGAGGCCCACTTCCGGTTCTACCAGATTGAGGGGGATCGGTATGATTATAACACAGTTCCTTTCAATGAAGATGACCCCTTGAGCTGGACTGAAGACTACCTGGCATGGTGGCCCAAGCCAATGGAGTTTAGGGCCTGCTACATCAAAGTGAAGGTCGTGGGGCCATTGGAGGTGAATGTGCGATCCCGCAACATGGGGGGCACCCACCCACGGACAGTGGGGAAGCTCTATGGAATCCGGGACGTGAAGAGCACTCGGGACAGGAACCAGCCCAATGTCTCAGCTGCATGTCTGGAGTTCAAGTGCAGTGGCATGCTCTATGACCAGGACCGAGTGGACCGCACACTGGTGAAAGTCATTCCCCAGGGCAGCTGTCATCGAGCCAGTATGAACTCCATGCTCCATGAGTATCTGGTCAACCACCTCCCACTGGCAGTCAACAATGACACCAGCGAATACACCATGCTGGCACCCCTGGACCCGCTGGGCCACAACTATGGAATCTACACAGTCACGGACCAGGACCCTCGCATGGCCAAAGAGATTGCCCTTGGCCGGTGCTTTGATGGCACCTCTGATGGTTCCTCCAGAATCATGAAGAGCAACGTGGGTGTGGCCCTCACCTTTACCTGCACAGAGAGGCAGGTGAGCCGCCAGAGTGCTTTCCAGTACCTCCAAAGCACCCCATCTAGGGCTCCTGCTGCAGGCACCCTGCGAGGAAGAGCACCCTCTAGGCGGCGGCAGCGGGCAAGCAGGAGTGGCCAGCGCCAGCAGGGACGGGGCGTCTCGCTGAGACTTCCTCAACAGCCTCTGAGTAACTGAGTCTGTGGTTCTTCACACTCCTCCGCACCTCAGCCACAGCGTGACTGATGCACGTGCTGCCACTCCGTTAATTTAAACACATCTGTTTTGATGCAGTTTGCTTGTTTCTTCCTGGCTTTGTCCCACAATACCAGTTGGCACATAGCCCCCAGAATGGCCAAGTAAAGCCCTTTCGTGCTTTTTAAAAACAAACACGGGAATTGGCCCCTGGAACAACTCTGCAGCTGTGTTCTTCATTTAGTGCTATGAATGCAAGTGTACTTCCCGTTCTTTGTGCATGGTTTTGCCCACCTCTGTAATAATGATAATCTGATGCTGAAGATGAAATAACTGATATAAAGCATGGCTCTTGGTCTTGCAAAGCCTTATCACAGCTGATACATATAAATGGCGGTGAAATAAATGACAATATTTTTACTCGAAACGTAAATTTATTTTGCTGGCCAAAATTTGGAACCCTAGTGTACATTTAAAGTGAGGCTATTAGCTGGGTGTGGTGGTGCACGCCTATATCTCAGCACTTGGGAGGCTGAGGCAGGAGAATCGCTGTGAGTTTGAGACCAACCTGGGCTACATAGTTCCAGGTCAGTCTGAACTACATAGTGAGACTCTGTCTCCAAATACAAAACAAAACAAAAAAGGCTATTGAATATAGGGTAATCATAGTTTCTCTTCCAAGTCCTGGTATCCATGGTTACCCTAGGTTGCTAACTGTATGATTTCCTTTATATTTGCTTTCACTTTTTTTGGAAGCCCATCGTGGCCCAGAGTGTATGTCAACAAAGGCATGTTCTGTACTTGGGGTTTTTTTTTTTTTTTTGGTACTGGGGATTGAACTGGGGTCCTTGCACTTGCAAGGCAGGCCACCGAACCACTGAGCTAAATCCCCGGCCCCTGTACTTGGGTTTTGAAGTCACTGTCCTGTCTTTTAACCACTGAAGTGAGCCAGCTGCTCAGGTGAGTGCAGGGACTTGGAGAGTGGTCACAAGGTGGAGTGAGGCCCACCGTCTCTAAGTGACAGGGCTGGGCAACTAGACACACGCTCCAGAAGTCAAGTTTGTTTTCGTGGATCATATTTTCCTTTTGCAAGAGAGAGCAGAGATTCCTGGAGTTGTGAACATGTTCTGGGCTCCTGAGCAAAACTAAAAATGTGTCCTGATTTTTGTCTTTCCAAGACCGCAGCTTACACAATAGGTTGACCCAGGGTCTGGCAAGCTGGCTAAGTGGTCTTATGGTGTCATCTTTCTGGCTGTTGCCTTCTCCAGCTGGGCTGGCTGACTTACTCTGGGAGGCTGAGTCAGGAGGATTGCAAGTTTGAGCCCAGCCTGAGCAATTTAGTGACAATGTAGCAAGATCCTATCCCCAAATAAAGAATAAAGAGACCTGCCGAGCGTGGTGGTGCATGCCTGTAATCCCAGCACTTGGGAAGCTGAGGCAGGAGGAGACCAGCGTGGGCTACATAATGAGCTCCAGGTCAGTCTCAAATATACAGGAAGACCTTGTCTCAACCACCCCCGCAAACAAAAGAATAGAGTTGAGAATGTAGTTCAGTACGAAGGCCCTAGGCTCAGTCTGTAGCAACAAAAAGTAAAATAATACAAAATAATTATATAGTAAATCAGAGGCCAATTGTGGTATCGGAATAGTTTTGGAGGTATGGACAGAGGGCTGGGAAGAGAAAGGTGCATTCACTACCCCTCTTCAGCCCCTCTAGCACTGTCAGGAAAGGGGCCTGGGGAAGAGAGGGCATTGTGTACAATCAGGACCAGAGCTTTCCCTAATCCATGGCTGCCTCTGGCCTGTGCTGGATTTGTCCTCTTAGATAAACACCAGATCCGCTCCCTGGGGTGCAGTGTGTAACCAGTTAAAAACTTTTCTGGCTGAGCACCCCATCCCCATTGCTTCCGAGAAGGTGAACACACAAAGGGCTGAGACCTAGTGTCCTTTTGATTGCAACTTGACCCACTTCATCCCTTCCGCTCCCAGGAAACAGCTCTCACTCACAGCTGGGCTGTGGGTGGTCTCGATTGCTGTTGCCAAAGGGTTGTTGTTCAGGAGCCCAAGGGTACGTGCTCCAGCCTGACCACGAGGCCCTTGCCATTCCTAGGGAGGTGCTGGCAAGGTGGCTCCCACCCCATGTCCTTCCCTTGCTGTCCTCAAATGAGGGCCTGGATAAAGGAACTCTGGCAGGCAGCAGCTGATACTTGACAGCTTTTTAAATTCACCATACATCTCTCCAATGCCTACTAGTTGTCAGGCTGGGTGTGCAAGCAGATAGACCTTTAAGAGACTGAATAAAACCTACTACTGTCAAGTTGAGCCAGTGACACCCAGTTTCTAAGCATCTTGCTTTCAAAGCCAGATGTGCTACTTGTAAGCTGTATAACTTTCCCCTGGACCTCAATTTCCTTGTCTATAAATGGAGGGGCTGGTTCTAGATTCTACTCTGAACCTCTAAAGCCCTGATGGGGGTTAGCAGTGAGGTGATGGCCACAGTTCCCAGGATGACTTGAGTGCACTGGACCACTGCTGGTTCCAGAGTTGCTCTCTTCCTCCTGCTGGATCAAGCCCGATGCGAAGCCCTAGGATTCAGTCTCAGCCCGCTGACTCCTTGTTACTGTGAACTCTAGCGAGCTGGATCCCAATGGCAGGTAGGGAAGGCACAGGCAAGAAGCTAGGGAGGTTGCTTATAAACAGGGATTTTCCAGACGCTGCTCTCGAGAGTTTGGAAAGCTCTAGCAGCTGGCATGATAAAGAAAAATGTCACCCAGATATCTGGACACAATCAGAGGCTGGAAGGATTGGGAAGATTTAAGCAAAATTTGAGGCAGCGCAAGGAGATGGGTGGGGCTTCTGACAGAGTCTGGTTAGAGCTGAGGAGTAGAGGTCGGGACTGCACCCTGGAAGGTTTTTGTAGCACTGGGGACTGAACCTATGGCCTTTGGACTGAACTACATGTCTAGCCCTATTTATTAATTCATTTATTTATCTTTTGAGACAGGGTCTTCTTGTGAAATTACCCAGGCTAGACTCAGAATTGCAGTTCTCCTGCCTCAGCCTCTCAGAGTGCTGGGATTATGAGCAGGTGCCGCCTCACCCAGCAGGAAGTCTTGATTACAAGGAACAAGATGCCAGCTAACTTCAGAAAGGACTGAAACCAGAAACATCAGAGGCATCAGAATCCAGGCCATCTCTCCCCTAATTTTTTCTCTCTTATCCCTTCTCATCCTCACTGGTTTCTGCCAATCTTGAACATTACACTCCATTTCTCAGACTGTCTGGGACCTGATTTCTCCTTCTGTTTCTCCTCTTTCTAGGTTCCTCTCTGGCCAACCTGTATCTCAGTCTCTCCCTCTCACCATGTGGTCTCTCCTCTCTGTAGGAAGCCTGGGTTCTACCCTCTCTACATCCTACCCACCAAGCTCTTGGGGATTCACTTTGATTGACCCAGTTTGAATTGGGTCTACACTTCCAGTCCAGTCATCTGTCCATGTGTCCAGGCCGGGAATGGGCCATAGAGGACAATTCAGTTATGCAGTCAGTTATGCATTATCTTCCTTGGGTGGAAGAGAATCTGGCTGGTCAACCATGGTTTTGTTTTTGTTTTGTACCAGGCATTGAACTCAGGACCTTGCGCATGTAAGGCAGGTGGCAAAACCACTGAGCTAAATCCCCAGCCCTGGTCCACCTGTTTTTGAACTCATGATCCTCCTGCCTCAGCCTCTCAAGTACTGGGATTTCTGGCATGTGCAACCACATCCAGACAGATTGCTTATATGATCATTTTTCTTTTTCCTGAAGAATAGCTGAGCACTCTATGTAGCTCAGTGGTGTAGCACTTGCTTATCATGCACGAGGCCTGGCTTCAATCCCTAGTGCCACAAGAAAAGAAAATTTATGGCCATTCTAACAATTGTGAAGTGTTATTTTATTGTGGTTTTGATTTGCATTTCCCTAATGTTTAGTAATGTTGATAGTAAGGTTGAGCATCTTTTTTTAAAATTGAGTTTATTGGTACATTTTAGGTATACAGTACAGTTACATTCATTATTAACATTTTAGGTATACAGTACAGTTACATTCATTATTGGGAGGTTGACCATCTTTTTAAAAAGCATCTTTTCACTGGAAATTGATCATTTCTATGTATTCTTTGAAGAAATGTCTCTCCATATCCCTTGCCCAAGCCAGGTGCAGTGACTCATGCCTGTCATCCCAGCACTCAGGGAGGCAGAGGCAGGAGGACTGAAAGTTTGAGTCCCACCTGCACAACTTAGTGAGACGTTGTCTCAAAAGAAAACAAAAAGTGAAGGGCAGTGGGTGTAGTTTAGTGGAAAATAATCCTTGGGTCCTATCTCCCAGTACCGAACACACTCAGAAACAAATCCTTTACCATTTAAAAAATTGAGTTGTCTTTTTATTTTTGGATCCTAAGATTTCTTTGTGTATGATGACTACTAGATCCATATCAGCACATGCCTTGCAAATATTTTTCCTTCTATGTGTTATCTTTTTCACATTCTTGATAGTTTCCTTTGAAGCATAAAAGTTTTAAAATTTTGATGAAGGCTAATTATTTTTTCTTTGATTGCTTATGCCTTTGGTGCTCAAACAACTGTTGCTTAATCACACCTATGTTCCATCTTCTGTGTGATTTTTTTTTTTTTTTTTGTACTGGGATCAAACTCAGAACTTTGCACTTGCAAGGTAAGCAGTGGAGGAACCACTGAGCTAAATCCCTGGCTTCTCCAAGTTTTATAGTTTTAAGCTCTCCCATTCATTTATTTTTGACACAGTTTTACTTGTATATGGTATAAGGCAAGTACGCCATCTTTTCCCATGTGGCTATGCAGCTGACCTGTCTCTGTTTGCTGAAAAACTAACTCTTCTTTCTGCCTTGAGTTTTCAGGTGCTCCTGAGGAAAATCAATTGTAAATAGAGTTTGTTTCTGGAGTTGCAGTTGTATTCTTTAGCTATCTATGTCTACTCTTAGAACAGCACCACTGATGTGATTCTTGTAGCTTTGTAGAAGCACGGGCATGCTCAGTGCATTTCTTACTACTTCTCTCAAGACCTCTGTATGATTGTTAGTTTGAGTGCTGGTTCACTGCATGCCTAACCAGTATAAAATGGTCCACTATATGCAATACAGGGCAGGGTGGGCTCAATGAGGGGCTGACTGGCCTTCTCAAACCTGCTGTTTGTTTGGTGGGGTGAGGGTGGTCTCACACCATTGCTAACCGGTCTAAAACTGAATCCCAGGATGCAGCCAAGGGTGAGGGTGGGCTCTCTGTGTAGCACAACAGTCCTCAAAGTTCTACTGCATGCAGAAAGATATGAGTATGGGCTCTCTGTGCTGTTAACCCATGCTAGTCATTCTGCAGGAGGCGGTTAAGTGGGAATGCAGGCTCACTGCATGGCTATTTGATGCTCAACCATCTGCTCTTTGCAGCCT